GGAAGAGAACAAGGCATTATACAAGCATAAAGGAAACGAATTCACTAACCATGTAAGCAGGAAGGTACTCCAATACGACCAGCTAAAAAAGAACAAACCCCCGCCACTGGAATGACCAACTACAGTCTGTAATCAGAAAAGATAAACAATAATTTAAGGTGGGGAGAAAGCTAGAAAATTTGTAATATTATCAACATGTGCAATTTTCGTTTCTGCATAAGCACTTGTTCTAAACATCTTCTTTGGATACATTTCTGCTGCTACCCATCGCAAAAATACTAAATTAAATTTCAACATTCGTCGCCAATTTCGCTAAAACCTAGCCAAAATCTAAGGAGAAGAAAAGGGTTTCATGACCAAGCGTGAAATTCGAAACAAAACGAAATTTCCATCTATCGGCACCACCAAGCTCCGGGTATGGCAAAAATCTACGGAACTGGAGATCGAACACCGAATCTCACCGTCCAGATATCTGCAGGGACGAGGATAATGATGGAGAGAGAACAGAACCAAGCGTATCCGACGGTGAAGAGGACGTATCTCGGCACATCAGGCCCAGCGAAATACCTTAGGGTTAAGAGCACCATCCCCAGCGTCAGAGGCAACGAGATCATGTAAAAGACCCACATTTTCGTGGATTGTGTGCAAGAGAAAAAGAAATGGCGAATGTTTCGCAGGCTTCTTGATTTTGATTCTCTGAAAATTTTCCTGGGAAAAACAAACGGAAAATGGAAGGTGAAGAAGAAGAAGAAGAAACGCCAGAAGTTAGGCAGAGAGCCAAAGCCGTTGCTTTAATTCCAAGGAAAGATATCTTCGTGAGAACAATCCCCCGATTCAAGCGCGGTTTTTTTCCCCTTAATTTCCAAATTTTTAATTTTTTATTCATAAATGTTGTTTTTTTTTCTTTCTATCTTTTAACAAATTTTTGGTATATAAAATTTATATAGTGCGTGCGAATGGTTGGATCCATTTTGTTTTACCACGGCAGCCATATATATTAAATAGTATATTTAATTGCTAAAAATTAATATCTTACCTTAAAATCACCATAGAAAATTCTACTATAACATAAAAGAGTTATATTATTATTTATTAAACATATTAATCAGTTATACTTGTATAGAAAAAAAAATTATACATTTTAAATCATCATAAGAATTCTAAACTATTGTACTTATCAATTTTTTTAAAACTATTACATTTACAAAATCAAATAAAAAATAAAATGTAATTTTTAATTGATGTTTAAAACAAAGTTAATAATTTTAAAATTAAATTATTTATCAATATAATTGTATAAAGTTAATTTTAATGTAAATATAATAATTTAAATAAAAGAAACCTCAATCCTCAAATCTACAATGTGTAAGATTAAAATCCAGCCAAGAGGTGGTGCCCGGAGTTGATCCGTTAGGGTATAAAGAGCCCGCAAAGGCTCCGGCTTGATGCTCAACTAAAACCCTTTTCTCGGGTTAACCTTTGCGGAACCCGCCATGGCCGACGACAAGAAGAAACGGAACAAGAAGAAGAAGAAGACCAAACGCGGAGGTGGGAAGAGGAAGATGACGGTCGAGCAAGCTTCGGCTTTCATGTCTGTAAGCAATTGGGTATTCTTAGATTCTTCTTATTCTTCTTCTTCTCCTCGTCCTTCCTCCTCTTCGGCTTCTTCGCTCGATGGCTTCGCCGTGACGATCACTGGCGACAACAAATTGGTCTTCGAGCTTCATTCCCACTCCAATTTCAGTGATGGGTTCTTGTCGCCTTCGAAGCTCTTGGAGAGAGCTCATATGAATGGGGTGAGTCCGGGATTTTTCTGGTTCAATATGTTCGTGAAAGTTTCGAACTTTTTCTGTTCTGGAATCTAACGGGATTGGATTGTTGGTTTGACGAGATGGAATGGAACAAGATCGGAATCGGGTTTCTCTGAAGTTTGTGGAAGGATGTGAATTTATGTTTGGTAATGAATTAGGAGTAGTTTGTCGGTTTATGGAGCTAGAGCAGATCTAACTTTAGCTTGTATTTCTGATTAATTTGGCTCATGAGGAAGTTGTGCATAACAATGACGATTCATCAGTCATCTATCTTGCTCACCATTTCCTTTGGTAGTTCGAGTTAGATCAGCATTGCAAATTAAGTAATCTGTGGGATATGTGATGGATATTAGCCATTAAGATTAGAGGTTGAACTGTTTTGTATTAACGAGCTTACTGTTGGATGAGTTGAGTTTGAGTTTTTTTGGCTTAGTGGGATTGTGAGAGGATGAGAATCTGTTCTGAAATGAACCCGAATTTCCTCATTCATGAGATCTGTGATGGATATTGTTTCTGATGGGTTTTTTCTCGATTAGAGAAAACTATGCATCACAATCTCACAATTTCCCACAAAATATTCGTAAAGTTCTCTAAGTCATTCATGAGATCTTTGATAGGTAACAATGACCTTAAGTTTGTAGATTCGCATTGTGCATTTGATATTTACTCCAAGGTGGATGGATAAATTGTCTAGTGAGTCATTGGCGTGTATATCGGTCTTGTATCAAGGTTTTTATTGCTTTTCATTGTATTCAGTACAGGTGAAAGTTCTTGCTCTTACCGATCATGATACGATGGCCGGTATTCCTGAAGCAGTGGAGACTGGATGCAGATTTGGCATCAAAATTATTCCCGGTGTCGAGATCAGTACAATGTTCCGGTCAAGGTATGGTTTCGATTCGATAATATCATGATGATTCAAGTGATTCTCGCTTGCTGGGTTGCAGTATGTAGCTTAAAATCAACTCCATGAGCTTCAATCCATCTACCACATTTAGAAACTTCTTTCGATAAGTGAATGTACAGATTCTTCTTTAGATTTTCTGAATTCACCTGATGAATCTTCATCTTTCATGATACAACATTCAGAGACTCTGGATATGAGGAGCCAGTGCATATACTCGCGTATTATGGCAGTTGCGGTCCATCAATGTACAATGAAATGGACGAATTCCTGGCTAAGATAAGGGATGGACGTTTCAACCGAGCAAGAGAAATGGTCCTGAAACTGAATAAACTGAAGATACCTCTTAAGTGGGAGAATGTCGCAAAGATTGCGGGAAAGGACGTTGCTCCAGGTAGGTTGCATGTGGCCCGAGCCCTCTTCGAAGGAGGGTATGTGGAGAATCTCAAACAAGCTTTCACCAGATATTTGTACGATGGTGGACCTGCTTATTCCACGTAAGGCCCTGCTCCGAAATTTCTTGATTGTGTTTATGAACCTCGGGATCGAGTTTCAGATTGAAATTTGTTGTCCGTTGATTGTATTTTAGTGGGAGTGAGCCTATGGCCGAGGAAGCGGTGGAAATTATACGCAAGACAGGTGGAATTTCTGTGCTTGCTCATCCGTGGGCATTGAAGAATCATGCCGCCGTCATTAGGAGACTGAAGGATGCCGGCCTTCAAGGGATTGAGGTTTATAGGAGCGACGGAAAGCAAGACGGTCTCTCTCTCTCTATTTCTCTCTCTCTCTCTCTCTCTCTCTCTCTGAACCGGTTCTTATCTTTCCATGTTGTTGAACAGTATTCAGTGACCTAGCGGATACATACGACCTCCTGAAGCTCGGGGGATCGGACTTTCATGGAAGAGGCGGACGTAATGAGTCAGAACTCGGGAGTGTAAACCTTCCTGTGCTTGCGCTTCTCGATTTCTTGAAAGTGGCTCGTCCGGTATGGTGTGATGCGATCAAGGCGGTCCTTGAGAATTTCGCCGATCATCCCTCGGATTCAAACCTCTCGAACATTGTAAGATTTGACAGGGAAAGGATCCTCAAAGGAAACTCGGTCTTGAACTTTGGTAACGACTTGATTGATAGATGCTTATCGAGTTGGTTGACGAGCGAGGAGAGACAGAGGCCTGAGTTTGTGGCCATCAAGTTAAAGCTTTCTGATGTATCGATCGCTTCAACCGGATTGCCTGTTCCAGTTGGTTGCAAGTGTAACTAGCCGGGTTTCTGTAGTTTCGAGATCTGTGGGCGGATGGATCGCTGAGCTTTTTATTTTTATTTTGGTTTTTCGAGATGTGGGGAAGAAAAAAGATCATGCTCTTCGTCGGGTTTGGTCACTGTGGCACCCGTGGGAACATATATTCCGTACACATTTTCAATGCATCTGTTCAAACATGTTCCAAATGTAAGGTTTCTTACAATTCTCTCATTCACTGTGCTTGCCCCTCACTTTGCTTAGAACATGTTCTATGGATGAGTTGTCCGAAAAACTCAAGAACAGTGCATTTGTTAAAACATGTTCCAAATGTAACATCACAAAAACACAACTCTAACCAGTCCTATTTTGGCACCCACATCTCATTATACACCACCACCTACAGGAAACAGTCCACAAGGCAAGGCCGTAGGAATAGAGGAAAGCAGAGCGGAAGACCGGTCCTAACCATTGCAGCTAAGGCTTATGGATTAGCCAATATGCCACAAAATGTGTAATAGACGTAAAAACATTTCACCGGAACTTTCCAATCTCGGCCTTCTTCTTGATAACTCGTTGGCCGTGATACAGAAACGAGTCAACTATACCAGCCACCGTGAAGATACCTGGTTACCATCAAAGATTTTTAACAGGATCAGTTACTGTTAGTGAACAAACAGCATAAAGAGTGTCCTTTTGTTCCATTTTGTCATTTTAATAGATACATTAAACTAGAGGAATGATGATATATACAACTGGTAGATAGGAAACAAGAAGGAAAAGAGAATGAGATATCAAAGCGGACTGGTTTGAACATCACTTGGGCATCTCTTGAATGCACAAGTTACGGGATCGGATGGATGCAATATGAGATTGAAACGTGGAAGTGTCATCAACCAGTTGCATGTAATGTGGAAACTTATATACGGAATGTAATTTAAGTAACTCGGAAGTCGGGATACGGACAAAGGATGAACTGAATGCATTGTACCTCCAATTATTGCACATATGTGTGTCATAAAATGTAGGAATGGAGTGTGCTCCTCTTTGAAAATAACCTGCAAATTGTAAAATCATACATCAGAAGCTGCTACTCAACTGACGATGCTCAAGTTCGATGCTTGACACCAATAAAGAGTGAAACATGAACTTTATTTTACTAGAAACCTTACGTCTAACCGACCCTTTTCAGCATCAGATCATGAAAGAGATTTCCGACTCAGAACAATAACAATTTTATTCAAATATGCATCTTGAAGTTGGGGACAATTTTGCTTCCATTAGAATAGAGCTGAAGGATTTCCCCAGCGAACAATTGCTTTCATTTTAGACATCAGACTTGGAAATTATTCCTGGATGAATAAATGTGCTCACCTTAATCGGAGAAAGATCGAAGAAGAAGAAAACTCCAGATATAGAATTTGGATGAGCCAAGTCTGCATCCCTGAAATGCTCCGTGACCGAGTACTATACATGGGCAGATTTCATTCCATTAACAATAAGCAACAACATGCATAATAAAGCAGTGAGCGATGCATCAAGCTCAACAAGTGATCTCTACCAAACCAGCTTAAAGTACCTGATTGGAATTGATGGTTCGGCCTCTAATATCTGTGTATACTGTAGGTACGACCTGTAAAAATAGATTGTCAAATCAGATACGATGAAATTCTTGAAGGAAAAACAGTTTTTTAAGAAGTCCAACTAATCCAGAAAGACTTGCAGAATCAGAAAAAAAAAAGATTCAATAGGCGATATATGAGCTCATTTTTACTAGCCTCCTATTTGGACTTTTGAATAGCTGAGTAAAAGAAGTCAAATTGGAAATCGACTTATTATAAGGTACACAACGGATGAATAACGGAGTTAAGGTATAAACTAGAAACCCTCTCATGTCCAAAGAAATCTACAAAATGTGAAAGGGGAAATGGCCATAACGAGTATGCTCCCTTTGTGTACTAACCTTGATAAAATATTGATACATACCATTTGAGGTTTGATGCATCCATTGCACACTAGTGTGGGGAAACAAATGTTAGAGCAATAATAGACATGATAACAATTTAAAAGCTGGAGTAACATTTAAAATAATTATCTTCACAATGGTAAGGTTGTCCGGTAGCTTAGTTTCACAATAGAATTACAAATCAAACAAGATCATATATGAAAAGCACAGGCAATGGCACTTAATATGCGGTGAAGCAGATGCATGGAAAGCAAAAAACATACCCATCAAGAGGGTTGATAACTCCAGGAAAATAGTCACCAAAGGATAATTTATTGATGCGATGACTTATCTGCATAGTAAAGCATTAAAGGAGGAGCTTGTATTATGCAAAACTAAAATACTAAAACCGAGTTCAAGAAATTAGATAAGCCCAACAGAATGGAAAATGAAGATCTTTCTTACATTAAAGACCTCGTTCTGGATAGCTAGTAAATCACTCAAAAACATATCTGAATGGCGCAAGCTTTTCCCAGCTGCAAAATGAAAATTTCCTGCAACTTTGTTGACCTCCAAAGATCCATGTATATTACAACCTTCTCCTTCTTCATCCTTTACCTTCTGGACGAAGCCTTCTCTTTTGCACTGAAAGGTTTAAGAAAATCAAATAAGAGCCAATATAGAGCCAGATTCTATGCTTCAGAAAACAATCTCAAGGTATCTGGCCCAATGTGAGTGTTCAGAAGACAATCTAAATGTGCAAGTGTTCTTTGCACACAACCAACCCACGTCCTATCAGTAAACTTGACTTGTATTTCAAAATGGTAGACAAAACATCATCATGCCATCAAAGCTTATCCTTGTGATGTCAATGAGGTAAACAAAAAGAGATTTTCGCTAATATCCAAAGCTTTAATAACAATGAAAGATGCAAGAAACAAAAGCATCCGACATCCCTCGCGACTTATTGGTAGAAAATCTTTCCACAAGACTAGCATTATTCAAAGGTGGTCTGGGTGATAATAGTGTAACCAACCAAAACCTCCTTGTAATAAGTCAAAACTGATTTAACACTTTTGTTGACTCTTGCAAAAACAATTCATCAAAGAGATTGCCAGAGCAATTCTTCGGGTAAACAAAACAAATTCCAGCAACCCAGAAAGATTAAGTACATATGGCATGTGTCGTATGAAAAAAAAACAAAGATTTAGACAATATAATTAGCACACAAAGAGTGCCAAGATAAAAAGCCGATGTTCTTACCTGGTCAATTAAGTCAACATTAGTTAATCCCCATCCTTTTTTCCTGTATGCTTCACGAACCTCCTCACATGAGTTACAGCAGTGATCATCCGACTGTGCCAAGATCATTGAGAAACAAATAACAAGTACATCATTCATGATCCAAGAAATGTCAAAATTGGAGATCCCAATTTGAGAGTAGATCTAAAAGACTAAAACAAATGGGAACCAATACAGAAGGCCTTTCAGATCAAAATCAAATCTATCTAGAAGTTTAACTTTTAAGAGGATAAGAATCTAAATCCAATCAATCCACGGGACATCATCAAAAGCAACTAGGAGCATCACAAGAACTAACTAAGACACCATAATAAACTAGAAGATTGACAAGAAAATCGAACAAGATTTCAAAAGGAGAAAGCATTCACTAGACACAACAAGAAGATTTTACAGAAAAGAGGTGAAACCTATGGATAAAGTTAAAAATGGCCTCATGATATAAGGCCAAATAAGCTTTTTCATCTTATCTCGCTTGCAGTTCACAAAGAACATAACATGAGTCTAATTCGCTTCAGGCATACTTTATACAGTGGATGTCATAAAACAAGTTGGAAGAAATTTCATATCCATCTAATCTTAGCAATGAAATAAGAGGAAAGACATAAGCTATAAAAAAGATTGTCCCAGTATCAGTGGGTTGAACCTGAAAAAATTTCAACAACCTCGCCACTTCTAATTTCCGCTTCCAATCCCATTTCAATTTTCAACTCCCAAAAAAATACGAAGATAAGAATCAGACATCAAAGTATACCTCTTCTGCACCAAAACATGAACCACAATATGTTTCGTTATGGTCCAGCCTACCACCATGCCTCTGTAAAGGTCTTTCAATCTGCACAGAACCAAATTATAAAAAGAAGACATTAGTAATGGAACATTCGGGCCAAAAGCGTCACAATAAGAAACCCTCTCAAAGTAGGCTCACTAAAACCCTCACAAGTCCATGGAATCAAAGCTAGCTTGTAAGGAAAGGGTACCAATAGACTAGTGGCAATCACCGATCCTATACTTGGTCAATGTGGGATCACAATACGACACCACTCTACCAACAAAAATATCTAGGTGATTCGTTCTCACAACTAGCTTGTTCAGTTCAGGTCATCCTTTCTGAAATATGGACCTCTACATGGAGTTTGGTTGTAATACTAATTGCTAAAAAACCATGTCTATACAAGGCTCATGCAAATCCTCACAAGCTCACAAGTGAATCTTATACTGAAAAGCTAACTTTTACTGGAGAAGAGGAACCATAGGGCATACAAGCAATCTCATATTCGGTTGGCATGGTAATAAAGAGTGATGAATAACAATAAACTGGATCGAATGGTGAATGAAGAATGATATTTCTGGAAAAAGAAAGAGGGGTGCATAAATTAAAGCAGGCTCTGAATGTTATAAAGTTCGTAATAAGTAGACCATCCAAAACCGTGTGGAGAACTAATAAGGTTTAGGTCCTAACTCCACCACAAAAGCTAGCTTATTGGGGGAGGGTGCCCATGGTATTATATTGACTCAATTGTTCCCACATATTTCCGATGTGGGACTCTAACAATACCGCCCCCTTTAGACAACGACGTCCACGGCGCCGGGGCAAATCTGGTCGTTGGCGGCTTCTCGGTCGATGGCGGCTTCTCGGTCACTGGCGGCTTCTCGGTCCATCCCCGACCGTTCCTCTCCTGACCATTCCTCTCCCGACCGTTCCTCTCCCGACCGTCCCACAACCACCGAGTCGCCCGCATGTCCGCAGGAGAACGGCCCGTCAAAGGCCCACCGGAAAGTAGAGAGTTAGGCTCTGATACCAATTAATAAGGTTTAGGTCCTAACTCCACCACAAAAGCTAGCTTATTGGGGGAGAGTGCCCATGGTATTATATTGACTCAATTGTTCCCACATATTTCCGATGTGGGACTCTAACAAGAACATTTCAAAGAGAAAACTTGAAAAAGGAAATCGATCCGACAATATTTAACAAAGGAAAAATAGGTTAGCCAAAGGATTTACTTACTTTTGGGGCTCCAATGCCATCTTGCCTAACTTCTACTATATCACCATGGGAATTAATTCTTTTCTTTGTTATGTCATGTCTCTGCAATTAAGACGAAAAATCAACACTAGAACCCAAATCGTTGACTCTAAAGGGAAACAACGTTAGGAATCACATACAATATCAATATGTTGCTCCCCACTAATATCCATGGTGTCAACACTAAGCAGCGTACATGGGATTTCGTGAAAAGTGACATCAAACTGCAAATATACAAAATCCACAATATGAGAAAAAAATAGTATATTAGATTAGTTTCAAAGAATATTAAGTAACTCTCTGCTCTTGTTAATCTACTTCCACGCAGAAATTTATTAGTCCTTTATCTAAAAATAGAGCTCCATGAATACAAATCCATGAATCATTGTGAAAACGAAAAAGAAACCCTCTGATTCAACTTTTTTTTAAAGAATTAGATGGAAGATAATGACCGCATGAATATTTTCAACCTGGATGTCTATCAGCAGCAACTCACATGGATTCTTAATTTCTCGCCTCTTGAGGTGTCCACTAAAAGGTTTGTCTCAGTAACTGTGTGTAGGTATAATCCTGCCAAAAGCATATACATACAAAAAAAAGGATAGCATAAAGAAAACCAACTCAGACACCTGATAACTAACATTATAAATGCTCAGAGGGGGAAAGGACGACGAGCAAGCTTCAGCGGATAGATGTTAAATTTAACAATAGAGAGCATCAAATTCAAGCATAGCACAAATCACCACACTTCCAAGATTCTATAATACTTTCACTGTCTAATTAAGAGTCTCATGCCACTAACGTATGGTCAAGGGTGTATGATTTATATATCAATGCAAAGTGGTGAGGATAAAGCACACAAAAAAAAGAACATTTTCAAACTAGAAACACCAAGAAAACATTCCCAAGGTAAGCATCCTAACAATTCATCGATCTCGATTTGTGAGCAAGACCACGTCGCCTACGTGTGTGAACGCCCTTACCAAAATCAAACAAGAACAGAAAATTGGATTAATGGGCCTTAATATCTCGATAGAGACTGTTTTCTACTCCTTTTTCCATTCCATGCTTCACCATAGCAGCTACAATGTCGAATTCCCAAGCATACAAACATCAAGAATCAAGATTCTTCCGGTATTCAAACCAAGCAACATCTAAATTACATAAGGTAGCACCGTTTCCACATACTTCATATCAGAACTTCACTGCTCATCTTCTTCATCATCCGGAAACAATAAGCAAAAGCAATCAAAACCCGGTATGGCAAAATCTCAACTACAGGCTACAGCCAACGAGACGAAGAAAGTGCACAATCGAGACAAACTATACAATCGAAACCCAGAGATACAAAACAACAGAGCAAGCTTTTGGGGGGAGAGAGAGGCGTACGGAATTCAGAGAAGAAGAGGAGGAAGATGACGAGACCGGAGAAAACAGTGATGACGCCGCCGGCGAGAGAACGACTGTAGAAGTCATCGTTGATCTTAGGGTATGCGTCCAGGCTCTTCAGTTTCTGGATTACACTTTCCATTGGAGACGTAATTCTTATGAGATTCGTAAGTTTGGTGCGGCGGAGTTCAGCTAATATTGCAGAGTCCGATAGGAGAAAGCAAAAGGAAGGAATAAATTTTATAGTTTCCTTTTTTTTTTTATTATGAAAAATTATGATTTTACAAGACAAAAATGCTAAAATATTTCAACACATTGATTATTTACTTTAAAACCCATAAATCAAAATCCAAAAACTACCAATTAAAAATAACATTTAACCATTTGATATCTAAATTTTCCTTCTATAGGATATGAAATTATTTTTTATAATATATGATTATTTATTAATTATGTAATTTAGTTTTAAAATATTATTTTGTGGATTATTAGAATTAGGGATTTATCAACACCCTATATCCTAGTGTTCAATCCAATAGAAATATCAAAAAAAAAATTTGGTTTTAGCCATTTAGTCTAGCTTAAATCTATCAAAAAATTATAAATGTGCACAAGTTATGGGGTTTATTTATAAAAAAAAAGGTTTTAATGAATCTACCGTACAAAACTTAGGGTTACATGTTTTTTGTTTTATCCATTTAATTTATTATTTAAAATCATTCAAACAGAACGAGTGTTCTTATTTTTGTTTTCTTCTTACACTTTGGAAGGGTTATCCAGTTCAGTTAGTCATTTTAGTAAATCTTAGATGTAAATTCACGTATATTTTTATTTTTATTCTACATATTTTTCAAATTTAATTAGAACTTTTAAAATTCCATCAAATCATATGTATATGCTATTAAAATTTTGTATAAAACGTTTGATATACTGTTTTAATATTATAAAGTTTGGATATTTTAGCTGTTATATGCAAAAACGAATTGAATCAAATAATATTTCATCGTGTTTAAGTTGATTGAATATACTCTAAATCAGATTTAGTTATGATTTTTTAATTAAATTATCTAATATTCGAATCAAATATGAGGTGTCATCCTCAAGTTAAAGGCGTCAACTATATTTGTTGACTTTTCGTCATAATTAAAGACCCCGGACCGAAGGGATCGACCGGTCCGGTTAAGATTGTGATTCGAACCGGATTCCACACGTGTAAGCTTCACTCTCATGATTCACAGATCTTTCATCATCGTCATTTGAATTGCCATCCTCCTTCCTGTTAACGAACTCCATCTCCATCCAAATACCAAGCCCTAGATCTACCAATCCTGTTCCTCGTTTCCGGTGGTCGAGATGTTGAAGAAGGACGAAGAGAGCAGCGGCGGTGGCGGAGGATCCGATACGGAGGACGAGATCTCCGGAATTGAATCGATGCCGTCGATGTCGCGCTGGGTTTTCGAAGAGAAGGATGATTACGATGAGATTGATGGCGATTATGAGGAGGACGATGGCGCGCGCCACCGGTCAGACATTTATTCCGATGATGAAGATGAGAATGTGGAGCAGCGCTTGATTCGAACTAGCCCTGCCGTTGATTCTTTCGATGTGGACGCATTCGAGATTCCTGGAGGTCCGAGGAATGATTTCGAGGTTTGCAGTTCATCTTTCATCTTCTTATCATTGCATTCGCCGATCGTTTCTCATGTGTGTAATTGCATGTATAAGTGAATATACGTGTTTATTATTTGTGAAGAATATTTTTTGGAGCTAGTTGATAAGTGTGTAGTTATGGCGCATTTCTTATGTGTAATGTTGCAAGGCTAATTGTACTTATGAAGTAAGAAGTTCCATGATTGTGTGTTTGTATGCTACAGATTAAGCTTAAGATCTTGACGTTATTATGTTGAAATGGCCTCCTGCAGGATTCGACCATAAGAAGGAAAATCATACTTGCTTTTCAGACTCTTGGGGTTGTATTTGGTGATGTTGGAACAAGTCCATTGTATACCTTCAGCGTGATGTTCAACAAATCCCCAATTAAGGGGAAGGAAGATATTATTGGAGCATTATCGTTGGTCATATACACCTTAATATTGATCCCTCTTGTTAAGTATGTAATGTTTGTTCTTTGGGCCAACGACGATGGTGAAGGTATTCTCATTTCTTATCTGCATTTTCACTGGATCTGATTTTAATTGTTTAGTAAGGCATGCTTATCGTGTTGATTTATTTATTTATTTATTTTTGTTCTGTTTTGTTTTCATTTTGCATTCGCCGTGTAATCTGTTTGTTGTATTATTGAACCACAGGTGGTACTTTTGCCTTATATTCTCTAATCTGTCGGCATGCGAAGGTTAGCCTCATTCCAAATCAGTCTCCATCCGATGCCCGTATATCGGGTTTCGGTTTGAAGGTTCCGTCTCCAGAACTTGAAAGATCCTTGAAAATAAAAGAAAGACTTGAGGCATCAATGACCTTGAAAAAGCTTCTTCTTATGTTAGTTCTTGCCGGCACTGCTATGGTCATCGCTGATGCGGTTGTTACGCCTGCCATGTCAGGTCATTCATATGCTATGCTACGCTGTAGTTAATCTGCTTTAGGCGTTGATCAATTTATAATGCCAAATAACTTACCTTAAATTCTTGATTGTATATTGATAATTGTCTGTTGGCGGATAATGGTTTTTCCGTGTCATATTTTCTATGTGAATGCATCAGTATTTGGTCTGTTTCTTAATTACCATCTTCTTTTGGATGCAGTGATGTCTGCCATTGGTGGTCTGAAGGTTGGTGTTGGTTCTATAGAACAAGGTAAGTTGTAATTTTAGTTGAATTAATCTGGTTCATTAATTTCCCTGCGCTTCATTTCCTATGCCAATTGTTCTTTCGCTTCTTTGTAAAAGCTCCCCTGAAGTTTTCTTATATGGAACATACAACTTCATTTGCAATGTCAAAAGGGTTGTATTCTTGGTTTATATACTTCTATCAAATTATAGATACCACAAAGAAGACTGCACGGGAAGAGCAGTAGAGCACCGATTCTTTTGCTCTGTCATTTGTTCTGACTGATCATACAGAACTTTACCCTAGTCAAGAAATGTGGACAATTTGTTGATATGAGGAAATTATGATCGTGGACTTGTGCTATTAAAAGTTCTGGTTTCAATATCTTAAAACTTTCTGGTTTCTGCTATGAGTAATTATCGGTTGTTAATAACTTTTGGTGCTTACATGCTTAATTTTCAGATCAGGTGGTCATCATTTCAGTCAGCTTGCTGGTGATATTATTCAGTGTACAGAAATATGGAACAAGTAAAATGGGACTTGCCCTCGGCCCAGCATTATTTGTATGGTTTTGTTGTCTTGCGGGCATTGGAATTCACAACCTTATTAAATATGACAGCAGTGTTTTTAGAGCATTCAATCCTGCCCACATCTATTTCTTCTTCAAGAGAAACTCTGTAAATGCTTGGTATGCGCTGGGGGGTTGTCTTCTATGTGCCACAGGTAAATATGAAAATATGGGAATAATTTGCTTCAAGCCTTCAAGGAACTCTCTAAAAACTTGATCTTCATTTGGATGACATTTTAAGTGCTGTGCATTTTTGACTCACTTCTTTGCCCGTGTTTGACATTTCAGGATCGGAAGCCATGTTTGCAGATCTTTGCTATTTCTCTGTTCACTCAGTCCAGGTAGCTGGGAAATTTAGTAGCCATTTCCGGATCATTTTCTATTTCTTGTCTTTATGATAAGTGTCTTTCTAATCATCTGCAATTTTGATTCACTGGTAGTGGTTATCTGCAGCTTACATTCATGTTTCTGGTGTTGCCTTGCCTCTTATTGGGTTATTTGGGTCAAGCTGCATACCTTATGGAAAATCATAATGATGCTGAGGAAGCTTTCTTTTCATCAGTTCCAAGTAAGATGCACTATCTGGTTCCCATGATGCCTCTATCAAACATCAGAGTAGTAACCTTCAACTATCACAATACCATCTTTAACTTACTGCGCAAACATATTTCTAATTACTTGTTGTTTTCTGTTTTATCAGGTGCTATTTTCTGGCCGGTCTTTCTCATTTCTAACGTCGCTGCTTTGATTGCTAGTCGTGCAATGACAACAGCCACATTCTCATGCATCAAACAATCAATAGCACTGGGCTGTTTCCCACGCCTTAAAATCATCCACACGTCAAGAAAATTTATTGGACAGATTTATATTCCAGTCCTAAACTGGTTCCTTTTAGTGGTGTGCCTGATTGTTGTCTGCACTATCTCAAGCATTTTTGAGATTGGAAATGCTTATGGTAACTTCTTCCCCCACTGAATCTTGTTTGGTTTCTTACAATATATATGTTTTTCCTCATCGTGAAGGTAGTGGGATTTGATAATTTTATAGTACACAACTTGATTGTACGATGTTTAAAACTTGAGCTATATCAGAAAGTGTAATGTTGGAAATTTCATTTTGCATGTTATTTCTGTAATGGTATTGTGAAGAACTTTAGAAGATTTTGATGTCCTTATAGCAGTGTCATATATTTGGGTTTGTCTTGTGCTTGTGCAATCTCGAGCTGATGCATTACGGTCCGTATGTAGGATGACTTTTACTGAAACCATATTAAACACCTTTAGTTTTATGTTGGGTCTAGGACTTGAGATTTAAGCTGTGATATATGGCACAATTGAATTACATCAAGGAGAACTTCATGTAATCACCATCTCTGATGTTCTTTTTTTCTATACTTATTTGTGATTTAGTTTGCTTGTATGTCAAAATATCTTGTGATTTTGTTTTGTTCATTAGTCTCAGTGGTATCGGTGTTTCTGATTTTTGGATTCTAATCTTCAGGCATAGCAGAGCTGGGAGTGATGATGACAACAACGATCTTGTTGACCCTGGTAATGCTTCTGATCTGGCAAACTAACATCATAATCGTTACCTCCTTTGCAATTCTTTCTCTGGGAGTGGAGTTGCTTTTCTTCTCGTCTGTTATTTCAAGTGTGGGAGATGGAAGTTGGATAATCTTGGTGTTCGCTTCAATCATGTTTCTCATAATGTACATCTGGAACTACGGGAGTAAGCTTAAGTATGAAACTGAAGTCCAGAAAAAGATTTCGATGGACCTACTGCGGGAACTCGGCTGTAACCTCGGAACCATTAGAGCTCCGGGCATCGGTTTGCTGTATAACGAACTGGCAAAGGGAGTTCCAGTGATATTTGGCCACTTTCTGACCACTCTTCCTGCAATCCATTCGATGATCATCTTCGTTTGCATAAAGTATGTTCCTGTTCCTACTGTGCCTCAGAACGAAAGGTTTCTTTTCAAGCGTATCTGCCCAAGGAGCTATCACTTATTCCGCTGCGTAGCCAGGTAACATGAAAAAACTGCTTCCACTGATTCATAATGTTGAAAATTTGGTCAAAATTTTAGTGATGTATCATGTTTTTCTCCTCCTCGAAACAGATACGGATACAGAGATGCCCGGAAGGAAAACCATCAGGCGTTTGAGCAAATGCTGATCGAGAGTCTCGAGAAATTTATCCGCAAGGAAGCACAGGAGCGTTCGCTGGAGAGCGATGGAGACCACGATACGGATTCTGAGGACGAAAACACGTTGTCCCGAGTTTTGGTAGCACCCAACGGGAGTGTATATTCGCTCGGAGTTCCTCTCTTAGCCGAGCACAAGGATCTATTGCACAAGAGCCCCATAAAGAATCTGGCTATAGAAGAATCACCCGAACCAACAACAGTATCCGAGGTGGAGCAGAGCCTCGAAAGAGAACTGTCATTTATACACAAAGCGAAAGAGTCGGGGGTGGTGTATCTTCTCGGGCACGGAGATATAAGGGCGAGGAAGGATTCGTGGTTTCTGAAGAAACTGGTGATAAACTACATGTACGCGTTCTTGAGGAAGAACTGCAGGAGAGGGATTACGAACTTGAGCGTGCCGCACTCCCATCTTATGCAGGTCGGTATGACTTATATGGTGTGAAACGGTTTTCGCCCCATCACGACACATTTAAGGCACGATCGATCACGATAAATACGAATAATGGTTTCGGAGAATTTGGTATTCAAGAACAGGAATGGAAGCTGATTGAAGAGGGAGCCATTGCTTTCGCACATTGTTTCATTGAATGTGATTGTTTGTGTTTGTATAGAGTCAGAGATGAGAGATGAGGATGGCTGTATTTTTTTTCCGGTCAATGTCGATGTAATATCCTGAATTGTTTTTCTTCTTTTTGTATTTTTTATTTTGTTTGATTTGTCTCGCACGTTCCCATTTTGGGCGTTGTTTGGGTTCTTGAAGTTTAAAGGAAAGAGGACGAATGCTGCTTGGGACACGTTATATTAGATTTTGTTATATTAGTTTTTTATTTAGATTTTTTTTTAGTTTTAAAATATTTTCTTCGTCTAAGTTTTGTATTGTAAAAAATATTTTTCCAAATTCTGTTCAATTATTATTATATTTGTTTCAAATCTATCCTCAATTGATACGGTTGGTATCGTCGTTCTTCTTATTCTCTTGTTATTCTTAGAAAAAAATCTGAATATGACTATTACATGATCCTTATTATATGTGAAAATAAATATAGATCTTTTTATTTATAACTCGAATAAATTATATAAATCGACTATTAATTGAATTTCAAAAATATTATAAATATGCTGTAAGCAACTATTATTATAAAATATTATTTTTGTTTTTATTTTATTTTCGTTATCATGGATGATTTTGTAATAATCCCTAGCCCTAGGTATTGTACGCGTGAGTTATTTGTTTTTCTTCACCAACTCGCACCAAGTGATTGGTTTTAAAGTGTGAGTGAAAAAAGTTCAACAATCAGTCATCACTTCTCGCCGCTCCAATGGCGACTATGGCTCCGGAATATCCGCCGCACTCGACCCAAACCCTGGATCAACTCTCCTTCATCGACCTCTCAACCCTAACTCAATCGGAGCTCCTCGCTCTCTCCCGCTGCTCCTCCGTCACCGCCTCAGCGGCCAACTGCTTCCCCGGCGACACCGCCGTAGCTTCGATCGACCGTTCAGCGTTTAATGAAAGCGTTGGATCTCGCAGGCAAACCTTCTGCCGCCTTGGTCCGTCGTCTCCTTCCTCCTCCGTCCACCACCGCTCCCGCGTCGCCGTCGCGGGCCGCCTCTCCTCCTCCTCCGCTAAGTCGCTCGCTGTTTCTGATGCCGGTGTCGCAGATGCCTCCGGTGATCCTCACCACGGTGAGAATCGGCGGATCATCGCTAATCTCAAGCAGAGTCTCAGGAATCTTCCGGAATTCTACGACATCGACTTCGATTATGTTCCTCCTTGTTCATTCACGAATCCTACCTTGAGTTTATGCGATGGTGGAGGGGAGAGGAAGAGGAAGCGGGGTAGAAAGCCGAAGCCAAAACCTGAGAATTTCAAGCCCGAGATACAGAAACCTGTATCTGTCACGGTCGCAGGGAATGAAGACCCAGAGACTGGACTCGAGTCTGTGAACAAGAATGGCGTTAGGGTTGATTTGGCAGCCTTGTCAACCTTGGAAGATCCGTACGGGCCTGAGATACGGCGGAGAACGGAGGGATTGTGCGGCGAGGAAGAGCTTCTAGGGTTTCTGAGCAGTCTCGGTGGTGAGTGGTGTAGCCGGAGGAGGAAGAGGAAGATTGTTGATGCAGGAGTTCTTGGGGACTTTTTGCCAGTTGGTTGGAAGCTTCTTCTGGCGCTGAAGAGGAAGGAACGTCGCGCGTGGGTTTATTGCCGAAGAATTGTGAGGTTTGATTCTTGTCTCACTAGTTAACTGTTCGTTTAGGGTTTACCTGGAAGTATTTGGGAATTGTGTTATAGTAAATGTGCCTTCGGATAGAGCCAGAGGAGCTTATATGGTAGGAAACTTTAAATAGGGAATCATGTATGTTAATATCTGTAATTAGAGACGTATAAGGCTTTCCGATTGATCGACACCCAAGACTTGAACAGATTTTGGAGCTTTTCGTTGTCTCAATTCATTGCCCGGAATGCTGGTTCTGAGGTCGTTATCATGTCTCGCTTACATTCAGTTGCAGAGGCAGATGAAATTGTTCTAACTGTGAGCTATTTTGCGTTCTCTCGTTCTCTGACACTTTTCTTTTCGTGCTCTGTGTTAATCAGTCCCGGTGGAAGGCACCTTTTGTCTTGCAAGGAAGTCTCTGAGTATCTGCGATCATATTTTGAGTCCCATGGTGAACCAAGCAGAGTAAATCACGATAGGAGTACCGTTCACCCGGATGGTCCCCAATCAGTTTCTCAAATCGTAAGTTATTTATTCCAACGGATCTCTTCATGTTTGTTATATTGTTCCATTTAATCATTTTGATGATCGTTTCAGCAGAATCAAGATGCTAACTGCAGTGAGGATCCTCGAAAATATCATAGTTTAATGACTGTATCGAATAATGATAATCTCAAGGTAATCCAAGTACAGAACTTGTTCAAGTGCCAGAAATGCAACTCGACCTTTGATACGAATGACGCATATCTTCAGCATCTCATATCTGTTCACCAGGAAAATACTAAGAGATGTAAACTTGGATCTTCGGTGGAGGGTGGTCAGACAATTACAAATGGCAATCGGGATGAAGGAGTTGAACAACAATACGATCAGCTCGGGTTTCAGCAAACGATAGAACCAACGATCAAAGATGATCTGGGTATGAGGATATCGAGGATGGATGCTCTTATTGAAATTGCTCATAACTCCATGCTAGAGACCTCGTCAGCACCTCCCACAGAAGCCACTGAGAGACTTATTATGTTCGATGAATTAAATTTGGTTTCAGAAGGAAAGAGATCCGTCTCTGATTCTGAACACGAAATGATTTCTCCTATTGGAGTTGAAACAGAGGACGGATTGACCATAACTAATCTGGATCAGGGTTTTCCAGGAGAGATTAATGGAAATACTGCAACTGGTGAAAAGGTGGAGATTCTTGAACATGTTACTAATTTTATGGACATCGAGACGGGTTCTCATCGATCTGAAGCCTTCCCCGGGAAACATGGGTTCGGAGGTGCTGCCAATGGAACCGAAGAATCTGTTTTTGGAAATAAACCAGCTGATGAAATCTGTTTGGCTATTCCCACAGAGAATCAAGAAGCCTTGGGTGTTTCATTGGCTTCTTCTAGCGGTGATGGAGGTGTTAATAACGAGCAATCGGGTCTCATGAGAATGGACTTTAGACTGACTAATGATACTGCGCCGATTCAAGATTCAATACAATTTCAGTTGCAGCCTACACAAAATCTGCAAACATATGACAACGTCTCTAAGGTATGACAGGTTTTACGTAGGGGTGTAAAATGGGTTCGGGCCTACGGGCTGGCTCTGAGCTGGGCTGAGAATAATTGAGCCTAGAAAAAAACGGGTCAAACGAGCCGGTCCATCACGGGCCGGGCTGGCTCGCGGACCAAATTTTTTTTTTCTTTTTAAATTTTTTTAAATTTTTTTTATATATTTTTATATACAAATTATATTTTTATTACATATTTAATTTATTTTGTTTAAAATTTTAAATATTTTTATTATATTTTAAATATTTTTTAAATATTAAAATTATTTTAAAATATTTTTTAGTATTTAAATTTTATTTTTAAAATTATATAGGCGATCTGGGTTGGGTTGGTCTATTTTTTGGTTCGTTAAAAAACGGGTTGGGCTGGGCTGGGCTAAAATTTTCTCGGATCGGGATCTCCAACTCTTTCTCAGAAGAACCAGGCGGACCGCCTGTTTTTCTCTAGCGGTCGCTCGATTTTTGAAGTTTTGTGAATCTGTTCATTTTCGGGCTACTGCCTCTCATTTTCGGGCTACCCTCCTGATATTTCTGAGCAAACACGGGCCGGGCTGGCTCGCGGACCAAATTTTTTTTTTCTTTTTAAATTTTTTTAAATTTTTTTTATATATTTTTATATACAAATTATATTTTTATTACATATTTAATTTATTTTGTTTAAAATTTTAAATATTTTTATTATATTTTAAATATTTTTTAAATATTAAAATTATTTTAAAATATTTTTTAGTATTTAAATTTTATTTTTAAAATTATATAGGCGATCTGGGTTGGGTTGGTCTATTTTTTGGTTCGTTAAAAAACGGGTTGGGCTGGGCTGGGCTAAAATTTTCTCGGATCGGGACGAGCCGGACTGGGCTGGGCCGGCCCGTTTTACACCCTAATTTTACGGCATGTTTTTTCATCTACTCTCATAAATCTATCTTTTCGCTTGACTGTTCATTCTGATAAGCTTCAGTTATGAACTCCTCTTCCATAATATTCTACTGATTTGAGACCCGATTTTGTAACACGATTAATATTTTCCGTACAGGGAGAAGATAAACCATTTAGTATAAACCCGAGCAACGAGCTACAGTTGGAGTACATGGAGTCGCTAAAACTCAACTTTGTGGGCGGCACAGATATGTCGTTAGTACCGATGGGTCTCGAGGAAAACACGGCCATGGTTGAAGAAGAAACAGCTTACGGCTCCGCCCCTCAGTTCCAATCACAAGAAGTAGTGTTAGGTATGACCGGTGGCGGTTCCGGCAACAATCTGACGACGATTTGTATGTGGTGTGGGATCGAGTTCAGTCACGTCTTGTCGGATTCGGAGCCGAGATCGGATTCCGTTGGGTACATGTGCCTCGCTTGCAAGGCCAGAATCTCCGGACAGATGGGTACGCCTGATGCTCATCCTCCTCCTACTTCTACCATATTCTAAGGCTGCCCTGCTTGTTTGATTCTGCATTAACATGGAAACACACCATTACTCACTCACGGGGTTCTGTGTTTTTATGTAAATACTCTCGTAAGAAACATGTAATTGAATTTCTTCATGTTATTTCTTGTGGAGTGACTTTTATGGCTTGGTGGCTTTATTTTGGCATTTTGCTAAAATTCATATTTGTATGTTCTAGGATTAGATGGAGATGGTGAATGGTGATGGATACACGCTCCTTCATGTCGTTCTGGGTTTCCCAAACATGGTTTTGGTTTTATTTTATTTTTTTTCTCTCATTATTACACGTTATCAATACACATCAAATCGATACGCCCTCCATCCGTATCGGTTGCATGTGACCAAGGATTTTCGAGAAATAATATATTAAAATTTATGCATAATTACAAATGAAAGATTGTATAAATTTTTTATTAAATGGGTACAACTCTTCGTAATGGGAAGTTGTATAGTTTTATATGAAGGATCATGAACTTTAAAAAAAAAATGTCACATAAGTCTCCATTGAACTAGCTGAAAATAAACACTTTAATGCCCACAATTATGATCGAAATGGATCACGAAAATAATAATGAGAAGAAGACGTTTTTACAAGTTTGAAGTGTGTTTTTTTTTACAGGCAACTGTTACAAACATAAACCGAGATATTATTGTAAGCGTATTGAATTTTTTTTTTTCACAAAAAGTTGAAATTGTAAGCGTATTGAATTTTAAAAGTATTTTTTTTTTTCGGTAATTCCATCTCAACCCCAGCGGAATAAGAATCTTCAGCCTTAAAAGTCATATTTTCGTTTCCAAGAAATCAACCGACGGAACACATACAATCGCCTCCAGGTAATCAATCTCTCTTCCTCTCTTAAACTGCATAGCTCCGGCTGCCAGATCGGCCGGATCCTGCCTCGCCGGGATCTGATTGCCTATCAACTGATGCCTCGCGTTTTGGTTTTTCTCGGCTGACTCACTTTGCGTATGTTCTAACTACAATTGTCTGTTGGATCACATTTTAGGGGTTTTGTTTTGCTGACATTGAGATTTTTGCTGAAAAGGACAAAAAAATCGAGGGAAAGATGAAAGGATGGGAATCACCATTGTTAATCTGTAGCTCGTTCTGTTGATTGAAAACTTTTACCTCGTTTGTTGCTGGTCAAGTGAGAAAAGGTGCTTCCCTTGTTACAATTTGGCTTCAGCCTTGTGTTATTGTGGTCAGATTCAGTCAGTATCACCAGCTTAAAAGATTTGTTTGATCATTAGAACCTTGTGTTGTGATCCTTTGTTCTAGTGAGAAGAATTGGACCCTTTTGATTGTTTCTATTGCTAATGTGATGGCCTGTCAATCTTTGTTCTACTTCTGTGAAGTTGGAGTCCTGGAATCTGTCTCTGTAAGAGACATTTTATCAAATTTTCGATTTTCCCTGTTCTGTTTGTCCATCCAAGAACAGGCTATGCTTACTGACCTCACAAATGGCTCTAGCTTGGATTTTGGAATGATGATTTGACATATGGAACTGAAGAGGCTATTGGAAACCAGTTTTTGGATGCAACTTGAGCCTCTTGCTGTGCTTTGTTTCGTTAGTTTCTTGTTCTAGGTTCGGGTAATAAGCTAGAGTTGTGTTTCATATTAAAACTTCTGATTCCTCCTATCTCAAAAATAATTTATGAGCTAGGGTGATAACACATCGATAAAGTTTTAGAAAATTTGACTTATATTCTTACCAGATTTCAGATTTGTCTCTTGATTTTGTGTTGTTAGGTGAGTCAAGATCTAATCTCCTGATCCCAGGCTGAGGGAATGGCAAACACTGCCTCCTTTATAATCGTGAGTAGGAACGACACTCCCATCTATGAAGCTGAAGTTGGATCTGCTGCCAAAGTAAGCTTTGTTCTTCACTTTTGCTATTTGTTTATGGATTCTTGTATTCATATACATAGGGTTTGGTACTGTATCCTTGAAGCCTGCATTATGTTTCTGTTTGCTTCATTGTGCAACTTTTGTGTGTGTTTGTTTCCTGTGGAGTACATAATCTTAGGTTCTACATATCCAGTTTTCTTAATTTTTGTCTCTTTCGTAGCTTCTAATCCTCAATGGGTGAAAGACTATTCCATGAGATACCTGGATCTTTATGACTTTAGTTCGAATTGTTTAAAGATTTTAGCCGCTGGTTTCTCGTGTTTCTCCTGTCTAGCTTAGTATATATTGTGCACTAATCACTCACACCATTGCCCATGTATTAGAGAGAAGATGCCGCTCAATTGCACCAATTTATACTGCACGCGGCTTTGGATGTTGTCCAGGACCTTGCATGGACTACTAGTGCAATGTCAGTAACGTCGCTTTAGATATAAATCCAGTTCTCCCTATAAGTCATCAAGGATTTCTATCATTCTCATATATGGGGAGTATTTAATTTTCCAGGTTCTTGAAGTCAGTGGACAGGTTTAATGATCTGGTGGTGTCGGTGTATGTTACTGCTGGCCATATCCTTTTTTTTTTCTCTAACTGAGCTAGAAATTATATTCAGTTTCCAATTAAGATGCAAGCGTCGTATTCTGTGGAAGCAAAACATTTTTCTTTTTGTTTCATTGATATTAGTAATGTGCAGCATTCTTCTCTCTCCAGAAAAACAAAGATAAAAAAAAAACATGCATATCTAATGTATTAGCATTTCAGGGTAATCCTTTTTGAAAGCAGAATATATTATGGGTTTTTTGGTACATGCCAAAGCTACTGGCACAGTTAGCTGGGTTCTATTTAAGTTGCATCAAGTGTTATGGTTTAATCTTTGGTTCGTCCTTGACATATCAACACATACGCGATTTATGCTCCTCCATGATTCCCGTAATGAGGACGGCATCAAGAGCTTCTTCCAGGAGGTGCATGAGCTTTATATAAAGGTAATTTTACTTGGTCTCCTTTCGGTTTCATCCATTCTGACTGACGATTAGTTTCAGCATAGTTACATAACAATTGCAGATGGTTTCCTAATCAATGTTATGCTTAAGACACTTTCCATTACCATCAATTTATCGAATTTTTCTCCTGTCTCCTGGACCTTATGCAATGATTGCCAAGTTCATGTATCCTTTTCTTTTCGGTTCATTCTTGGCATGAAACAGCTGATTAATAGGTGAAGTATATAACCCCTTTTTTTCCCTTCTCATGAATGGCAAAATGCAGATTCTTCTCAATCCTTTGTATTTGCCCGGTTCCCGCATCGTCTCATCGCATTTCGACACAAAGGTTCGTGCTCTTGCAAGAAAGTACCTATAGAGAGAGACAGGGGTTACGGTGACGGATTCAGACGCTACACAGTGTCACAGCAATGGGAAATGGTAAAGCAAAATCATTCATCACAAGCACAAGTTTTGAAGGGAAGAAGACGAAGGGATCCTGTGAGAAAGAATCTTCTTGTTCTCGTAAACTTTGTACCAATTGGAAACGCCAATCGTTCCACGCAACCGAAGAAGACATGTTGTGTTCTTTGTTAGTTGTTCCATACTATTTCGGTTCTTTTATTTTTTTATTTTTATGGTCAAAACAGATATGGGTGATCTGATCAACCTAATAATTTATTTCTTTAAAATCGAAAAAATTCAAAATCGATAAAAGTAATAAAAAATGATTTTTTTAAAAAATTAGTTTTTTATTAATAAAAAACTGGAGACTAACCTAAATATAGCCAAACAAAATTAAATATATAAAAGGTAATATAAAAGTAAAATTTTTACCACTAAAATAATCGAAATGAGAATAAAAACAAAACTAAACCGTAAATGACCATCTTCACGTGGAATACGTCGTTCTCGCAAGTCTCAAAACAAAAAACATTTCATGAGCAAATGGCCCACCGTCATCATTGGCATGGTTTCCGATCTTATCATGTCCACCTGTTACATGTTAGTACTCCCAATTAAACAAAATGATTAACATAAACAAAATCATGCAGCACAAATTACCAAACACAATAATTAAAAAAAGTCAAGTTGACCAGGATGGGATCCCAGGATGCAACAACATAATAAGAGTAGACATCAACCGTTGTATCAATCATGTCTTCTTCTTTCTTCCAGATCCTGTCATGGGATCAACCCCACGACGTCGTTTTAACCCCCGTCGTTGTCTTCTCCGTTCTCTGGTACATACGGCTTCTCACCAAGCCGAAACTTCCACCGCTGCCGCCGGGACCTCCTGGCCTCCCCATAGTCGGAAACCTCCCGTTTCTCTCGCCGGAGCTCCACACCTACTTCGAGGGTCTCGCCGGAAAATACGGTCCCATATTCAAACTCCGCCTCGGCGCCAAACTCGCGGTCGTCGTCTCCTCGCCCGAGACGGCCCGGGAAGTCCTCAAGACCCATGACGTCACCTTCGCGAACCATGACGTCCCCGTCGCGGGTCGGGTCAACACGTACGGAGGCGTTGACATTCTCTGGTTACCGTACGGACAAGAATGGCGGATGCTGAGGAAAGTCTGCGTCAGCCGCATGCTGAGTAGCGCCACGTTGGACTCCTCCTACGCGCTCCGCCGCGCCGAGATCCGTCGGACCGTCCGGTTCTTGGAGGACCGGGGCCGGTCCGGTTCACCGGTTAACCTAGGAGAGCAGATATTCATGGCAATTTTGAACGTTATCTTGCAGATGCTGTGGGGCGCGACGGTTGCGGACGAAGAGAGGGAAAGTGTTGGATCTGAATTCAGAGAATTGATTTCTGAGATGACCGAGATCGTTGGTATTCCTGATATTTCAGATTTCTTCCCGGTCCTGGGCCGGTTCGATCTGCAGGGTCTGGTTAAGCGGATGCGTAAACCGGCTCAGCAGTTGGACCGGTTGTTTGACCGGGTGATTAACCAACGGCTGAGAGTTGATAAGAGGAATCAAGGGGACGGTCAGGATTTCTTGCAGTTCTTATTGAAGGTGAGAGAAGAAGACCAAAGTACCCCTCTCACCATGGACCACGTCAAGGCCGTACTCACGGTACATCTGCCTCTTCCCCTTCTTCTATATCTATCTTGCCTTCCATAGTTTAATGATGTTGAATAAATTTATATCCACAATTACAAAATAGGTGATTTCTATTTGAAATTGATTAGATTTGGTTCCATCGCTGCTTTGCAATGTATTTCTAAAATAATAATTTTTACCTAAATTATCAAATTTAGCTGTTTTTTAGAATACTAAAAAAATAGTTATTTTAAGTTTGTATTTTATTGTCAAAAGTAAATATTAAACTATTCAAAAGAATCAAAACGGGTCAATGAATTCTAGATTTTTTTTTTTCGTTATACCATGAATTGTTCCTGAACGACGTTCAATTATAAATCGACACCTTTAAGTCTTGCACATTCAAACCAATCTCCACTCGTCCCAGATCAACACACTAAACACAGTAAAGACTGGTCTAAAGAATAATTCCAATTGCATATTAAAATTGCTTTGGCAATCAATGTTTGATGGAATTGCAAAAAAAAAAACATGTTCAACAAAAGGTTTACATAATACCAAGGCATGAATAATCATTAGAACATATTCAACATCAATGCACAAATACACGCACACACATATATATATATATATGTATAATCGTTGCTAATTAGCTATGGACTTTGTCTCGCATTTCGAACAGGACATGGTGCTGGGCGGCATAGACACATCTTCGAACACGATACAGTACGCCATGGCAGAGCTTATAAACAGACCAGAGGTGAAGAAGAGAGCCCAGCAAGAGTTAGACGAAGTTGTCGGCAAAGACAACGTCGTAGAAGAACCCCACATAACCAAACTCCGTTACCTGTCCGCCGTCATGAAAGAAACCCTAAGGGTTCATCCCATTTTCCCTCTCCTTATCCCACATCGATCCAGCCAATCCGCCGTCGTCTCCGGGTACACCATCCCCAAAGATACCAAGGTTTTCGTCAACGTGTGGGCCATCCACAGAGATCCGAGATCCTGGGAGAATCCGTTGGAGTTTGATCCCGACAGGTTTCTCGGAAGAACAGGTGACTTCAGTGGTAATAACTTCAGCTATCTTCTGATCACACCATCTTTACTTGAGAATTTTATGAGTGGATTGGGATCTTTATCATCAGATTCATGTGCATATGAGTCGTCTAGGGGTAGAGTAGGTCCTTGTTTTGTCCATTTCAGGATCAGGTGGTGCAGTGAAGTCTCCGGGAGAAAACAACGGAAAAATCGGACGAAAACGCGGAATGTGGAGCAAGAGCAAAAACAGGCTACCGCCCTAGAAAGAGATCTGGCCGCCCTAAAGTGATAGAAGCCTCGAGATTTAACAGAAAATTCAGGAGGGCCGCCCATAAGTTCTGCCGACCGCCCGAAAATGCGAAGCATATTCAGGCTCCCGCCTTGAAATACAGAGAGACCGCTCGAAAATGCAATATTCTCAGCGAAAGCCTCAGAAGAAATGGGCTACCGCCCTAAAATGTAGAGCGGCCGCCCATTTATATCTGACGAAATTCAATTTGTGTTTTGGCCCATTTCTAAGCCCACAATGATAGTAGAAGAGAACCTAGGGTTTCCTAACCTTAGGGGAGTCATTTTTAAAAGAAGGGAGCCACCTTGAGGGAAAGGGGGGAGGAAGAACTTGGAGAACAAGGGGGAAAGCTTGGAGAAGGAGGAGAGGAGAGAGAATCCACCATTGAAGACCATATTAAGCTTTCTCTCTCTTACTCTTCATGTTTTATTTTGTTTCTTCTTGTTTTCTTTCCTTGAATATGGAGTAGACCTTTAGTTGTGGGGAAGGGATCCCCTTGTGTGTGGATGTTGGGGTTTAATCTATGATACTCTTGGGTTGTTTTCATTGGTTTGATATTGTGTGCTTCATGCTTTTGATCTTGACAAAACCTTGATTGAATGATTTTAGAATAGATCATGCATAGAGATTGTATAGGATGTGTTTGAGAGACATGCTCGGCAAGATGCGTATAATCTACCTTAGATCACGGGGGGCGAAAGAAGTTCCATTAGTAGTCGTTTGTTTGAATGCTAGAGGGTTAGAGTATGCTAAACTCGATTCCATTCGCGGTGACTTTTACCCGGATAGACAAGCCAACCTTAGATCCCATTCAAGTTTGATCTTAACCTCTCAGGCCTTAGACATTTTCACGATCATGTGTTTCGTTCGAGGACGAACAAACGTTCAAGTCTGGGGGGATTTGATCACACCATCTTTACTTGAGAATTTTATGAGTGGATTGGGATCTTTATCATCAGATTCATGTGCATATGAGTCGTCTAGGGGTAGAGTAGGTCCTTGTTTTGTCCATTTCAGGATCAGGTGGTGCAGTGAAGTCTCCGGGAGAAAACAACGAAAAAATCGGACGAAAACGCGGAATGTGGAACAAGAGTAAAACCAGGCTACCGCCCTAGAAAGAGATCTGGCCGCCCTAAAGTGAT